AACTAAACTCTGCTAGTCCCTGTAGTCCCAAGTAGAACTGCGCTTGATAGTCCCTATCAAGGAACGCCAAGCCTCAAACAGAAGCAAGCAATCGCGCGTCGCAGCCACCAGTTGTAGTCCTTCCAGAACACGACTATTGTTTTAGCAGTGGAACTGAGTGGCTTAAGATAGTCAGTGTTCCAGTCCGCTACCTCCACCTCAGGCGAGACTTCTTCCATTATGACCTTTAGTCGACGATATTTTTTTCACGCAGCATAATATTGGAATTTGTGGCACTGAATCGCTATATTCATTTCCAGTAGCGAATTAATTTCCGGGACGTGTTTCCTAGGTTCACTTAAGCCGAGGTTCAGGTTCGCTATAACAGAATTTTGTTATGATTATTTGTAATGTACATGAAACGAGACCAGTGATATAAGTTCACTATATCCGAGTTCACTATAACTGGAATCGACTGTACTTTCTCCTGAACATGAAATTCCTAGCTAAATAAAGAAGCTTTTAAGAAAAACGTGGATGGGATTTGCTGGGATTGAGATTAATGTACATGCCGAAAAGAGAGTATATATAGTATTCAAATCGTCAAGTGTTATTCTAAAATTCATCCACAATATCTTAGAGGGATCCTGCTAAGAATTGTGCCGATGTGCTTTCTCGAGAGGAATAGAATGAGATATTGCTAAACTACTAATGTCACCAAAAAAGAGTTTTAGATTTTCAAAAACCAGTTTTTTTAGAAATTTAATTACAATCATCCGGTCCACCGTTGGAGCATTCAACTCTTGATCTTCTATTGGGGATCAGTTACATAGTATTCTTATGATCTCATAGAATTCTTCAAATAGATCAATTTGAAAATACTTTTCAAACTGTTTAAAGCGCCCTCATGCCGACCACCACTTAGTCTTATTAATTATCATTATTATTATTTGATTTATTGGATCATCATTCATCCATCATCCATCATTATCCATTATTGAATATCAATTCCGTGCCCAGCGAAGAAGGAGTCTGCGAAAAATGGAGAAAACGGATCAGAAGAAACTGCACGATGAACGCCGACGTCTTCAATAAAGAAGAAATCGGGAAAGCCTCTCCTTCCTCACTCGAGCGTGCACCCATATCCTGCGAGCGGGTGCGAGCGGTGCGAGCGGGTGCGAGCGGTTGCAAAGCGTGGGGCGAGCTGAGGCGAGCGGGAGCGTGCAGGGGCGAGCGTGGGCGAGCTTGGGCGGTGCGGGGGCCGCTAGGAAGAGGTGCTGAGTGAAAGGATGTGCCCTGTCGTCACTTTACTTTCGTGAGAATGTACACTGCAAGAGAGCCATTTTGAGATCAAAATTCGAGTTGTAGGATAAAAGAGCTCGTGCATATACTCCGCTCATTTTTTCCGGTATGTGACAACAGAAGATCTTAGTGTAAGGTGGAAAGATAACGGAAGACCTTAGAAGTAAAATATATCATACACACATTTTCTACTATCTGTTTTGACTTTGTAACCTAGGTGATGACAGATTGCAATCGCAGCACAGTGAACCAATCCGGTTACATCTTCAAGAGAAGAAGCTTCTGAGATGTTGGGGGCAATCATTCGGTTCATTTTGCTAACAATCTCATAGACACAAGCACTGCATTTCAGTTTCGGTATTTTTGGTCTTGAATCTAATGCTATTCCTTGGTAGTGAAGCTTTGCTTCGTTATCGAGTTGGGGATAGAATCCACGTGTTGTTCGTTCTTACGCACTCTTTGTTCATGTTCATTTTCAATTTAATTTACTTGCTGCTCCAAGACTATCTCACTTGTAAGTTCTAGTCTCACTTCCGCCTTCAGGAGATTTAAATCAGCATCTAAAAAATCTTGTCTTCCCCTGATGGAGTTCAGTTGGCTGCACACACGTTGCTCATTTAGAGCGCTTGCCGTATATATCTTTCTCCACTCAGGAGTCTTCTCCTGAAGTCCTCACATTCCGTCTCCTTTTTTTCTTTTTCTTTTAAATAGTATGCTCGCATGACAGACATTTTTAATTCTCTTGTCCACAGCATGCGTTGGCTTGGATTCCCTGAAGCAGTTGGGGTTCTCTTGGGTTCACCAAACTTCTTCCAGGTACTGCATCTTGCGACCCGATAGCGAGATTTGTGTATGCCCTAAATGGGGCAATGCAGCGCCCCTTAGTTCTTGCGGGGGTTCACCTCTTCCCACCAGCACAGGTAACACATTTCTCACAGCGTGCTAGAACCAGCTGCGCGGCCTTGTAAGGACCGGTCGCCAGCGTGATTTTTCCTTAAAGCACTACTCATAATAATTCTTCTCCGGGGGGGCAGTGCTGGATAATTGAAGACGAAGACCCGCTACCCAGGTCAATTATTTTGGAGGGATCTGACACCCTCAGAATATGAAGAGGATCGCGCACGCCTTCTCGCCGTTGAGATTTGATCTTCTTCTGCCATCGAAAGCGCTGGTCCTCCTCACCTGTAATTAATACATGGTAGTGAAAAGTTGTGTGTTTATATATATAATTTATTGCTTAATATCTAGGGATAAGATTAAATTTATAAATGATATGATTTGGGTGGGAATATGAACTTTTAATTAGCTATTGTTTATTAGTTTGTTAGTAATCTAATATAATTATTTTTAATTATTATATATAACGATTTATTGAGATGTTAAAAGTAATTTGTGTTTTATGTAATAATGATGAAATTAGTAAATGATTTGTTTACTTTATTATATTGCTTACTTATTTTAAGAAATAAGGCAAAGTAATTGTTCTCCTCTGTATCAAAAACATGTCTTCTTGCTTTGATATGAAGTCATGCCAGCCCACTGAAATTTAAATGGCCATGGTATACTGTCCATGAAAAGGTAGCATAATAAATAGTCTTGTAATTGGATGCTGGAATGAATGGTTTGATGAAGTAATAACGGTCTCAGAATGATGTATTGAATTTTACTTTTGAATTGAAACACTCAAATGAAGATAGTGAGGAAGAAGACCCTATAGATCTTAATAACAGTATATTAAAATTTATTGTTGGTAGTGTTTTATGGATATTTTTAACTTGTGTTTGGTTGAAGGAATAATTTAACTTCTTTTTATATAACTATGATGGTTGGTTGATTGATCCAATATTACGGAATGGATATATATAACTGGTAGAAGATCAGGGATAACAGGGTAATGTTATTGGAGATTTCATATTGATAATAAAGATTGCTACCTTGATGTTGGCTAAAGAGTGTTGTTAAATGCAGAAGCATAATTGTTGGTCTGTTTGCCCATTAAATTCTTACATGATCTGAGTTCAAACCTGTGTGAGCCAGGTTCGTTTCTATCTCTATTTATGATGTGTATTTTAACAAAAAATTAAATACATTAAGTAATTTATTGGTTCGAATTATATTTATTGCTATTTTGGCAGAATAAGTGCAATGAATTTTGAATTGATGAACATAATAATATTACATATACTATTGTTTAATTATGCAATGGGTTTAATTTGGAATGTTGTTTTAGTTATTTTTGTATTAGTTGGTGTAGTTGTTTAACTTTACTGGAATGTAAAATTTTAGGTTTTATACAGATTGGTAAAGATCCTAATAAGGTTAATGTAATGTGAATTCCTCAACCTTTTGCTGACTTCAACCTAACTGCTATTAAATTATTTCGTAAAGAGCAACCTTATGCAATGATATTGAAATATTTAATACTTTTTGTGTTTTTCAAATTCATTGATATATTATAGATTTCATTAGTTTATTGGGTTTTGAATCCTGGTGTTTTTTTTAACGGATATTGGGTTATTCTTTAATATTGGTGGGGGGTCTATTCTAATTCTATTATATGTGATTGAGTGGGGTGCTGGTAGCATCAACAATTTCTTATTGAAGTGAGTATGGTATTTATCTTTATTAAAATTTATTGTTTAAGTTGTGGGTTTAGAATATACCTAATTAGTATTATTATATATATATATAATATATATATATATATATGAATAGATAGATAGATAGATAGATAGATAGATAGATTAGATAGATAGATAGATAGATAGATAGATAGATAGTTAGATAGATAGATATAGATATAGATAATTAATATAGGATATAAGTATAATATAGATATAGATATAAATAGAATGGCAATTGATGCAACGTGGGCTATTGCTCCTCCTAATTTATTGGGAATTGATTGTAAAATTGCATATGCAAATAAAAATATCATGCGGGTTGGATGTGGACTGGATTTACTAGAGGGTTGGCTGTAGTAAATTTATCAGCATTTCCTAATAAATAAGGATTTGTTAGAGATAAAATAGGTAATAATATTAATATTATTAAAAATTCTATAATGCCATGCAAGTAAAATATGGATGAAAAGGAATTTTATCTAAATTACTTTTAATTCCTATTGCATTGTTTGATCCTGTTTGATGAAGAAATAATAGGTAAATTATTATGAATGCTGCTACAATAAATGGAATTATGAAATGATATAAGAAAAATCAAGTTAATGTGGCATTATCTGCTGCAAAACCTCCTCAAACTCATTGTACTGAATCAGTCCCTAGATAAGGAAAGGCTGATAATTAATTGGTAATAACAGTAGCTCATCAAAATGATATTTGTTGTCATGGTAATACATATCCTATAAATGGAGCAGCAATTACTACGAATAAAATAACAGTGCCTACCATCCAAGTATGTATTAAATTATAAGATCCATAATATATTCCATGTCCTATATGAATATTGAGACGAATGAAGAAGAATGATGCCCCATTAGTGTGAATTTGCTCGTAATAGTCAACCAATACTTACATCTCAACAAATATGTCTGATTCTATTAAATGCAATGTTGGTATCAATGGTGTAATGCAGGCTATAATGTATTTCTGTAATAATATGGATAATCAAACAAAATCCTAATAGGGATCCAAAGTTTCATGTTGAAAAGTTGGATGGTGATGTTAAATCAATTAGTGAATTGTTAACAGTTTTAAATAATGGGTGATTTGTTTGTAAGAGTTTATTCATGAATTATATTGTTTAGTAACTTATTATAAGAATGTGAAATCTTATAATCCTGGTATCATTACAGCTTTATCTCATCATATTGGTGATGTGGTTTTATTGTTGTCGATTGCTTGAATGATGAAATTTGGTAGATAGAATTATTTATATATTAATAATTTCGGAAATTTGGATAGTGAAATGAAATATCTAATTGTTTTGGTTATTATGGCTGCTGTAACTAAAAAGAGTTCAGATTCCTTTTTCTTCTTGACTTCCGCTGTAGCTGTTCCCACTCCTGCATCTGCATTAGATTCATTTCATTCATCAACTTTGGTTACAGCAGGAGTATATTTACTCATTCGTTTTGGCCTAGCTATTGAAGGATATTCAATAAGTGATTTTATATTGTTATTTGGTGGTTTGACTAAATTTATATCTGGGTTGGGTGCTAACTTTGAATTTGATTTGAAAAAGATTATTGCTTTATCAATGTTAACTCAGTTGGGTCTTATAATAAGAACTATTGGATTGTGTTATTATGATTTGGCTTTTTTCATTTATAGACTCATACATTATTTAAGGCTTTATTATTCATATGTACTGGTATTATTATTCACGGTTTGCATGACCTTCAAGATATTCATGGAACAGATGGAATTGTTAATCAGATGCCTTTATCTTATATATGCTTTATAATTTCAAATTTGTCTTCATGTGGAATGCCTTTTTTCTGGATTTTATTCAAAGGATTTAATTTCAGAATTGACATTAATAAGAAATTTTAATTCATAAATTTTTTTAAATTATTTTTTCATTCTATTGGATTCATTGTTTGTTATACTTTCCACTTAATTTATTATGCTATAGTAGGTGAATTTAATTTTAGGAAATTACATTGCTTAGGTGATGAAAGTTATGGACTTATTGGTTTAAACATTTATATTATTATTTATGTCTGTAATTCATGGTTCATTATTGTTGTGAGTAATATTAAGTACTCGTAATTTCATTTGCATATGAGAATTTTGGCTGTGGTGTTTAGTTTTCTTGGTTGAATAGAATTTGAATTTTCAATGATAATGAATTATGGGAGATTTTGTTTCAGAAATTATTATTTTGCAAGATTTTTAGGATCAATATGATTTATGCCTTATATATCTATTTATATAAATAGATATTATCCTTTGTATGGAAGTTCAAATATTGCTTATGTAGTTCATTGTGGATGAAGAAAAGAATTTGAAGGTCAAGGAGTATTTACATTTTTATATAAGATGAGAGTAATAAATTAAGAATATCAATTTAATTTTCTTAAGTATTATTTATTGAGCTTTATATTTTGAGTACATATTTTGAGTATTTCTATAATAATTTTAATTTACAGTGGAAGTTAACATAAATAAGTAATGAAAAGTGTAATATTGAAGGTGTTAGGGAGATATTATATGTTTAGGTAAAGTAATTGAAACCAAAGACGAGGTATATTAATGAAATTGAAAATTTGGGATACACTTTTTCTAATTGTTTCATCTGTTCTGGATAGCAAGTGTTCTGGATAGCAAGCAAGAAGTTCAAATGTTTGTTTTTGTCATACATCAACCATGGGAGTTATTCAAAATTTATCTACACCACACTTTTTCTGAGGCAAAAATATCGTCAATTTGTAGTTTTGAAATTAATTTCCAATTTTCGTAAAAACGCGCAATAGCCGAAAATGGGACTAGCGCCATTTTTCTTACCGGCCCTTATTGCATATGTAGGAAAAATTTAAAGAAACAAGTTGGGGTTATTTTTGAGAGTTTTTTCGTAATAATTAAACGCAAGTTACATAAAAAACGCTCGTTTTTCCAAAAAATTGAACATGTCCTTTTTAAAGATTTAATTTACAAGACTTTGCCTGTGACAAAAAACTCAATCTTCAATTTGGTATTTTTAAAATGTTTTCTTTTTGTAATTTTCGAAAAAAACGAGCAATACCCGAAAATGGGACTAGCACCATATTTCTTTCTGTCCCTTATTACATGTGTGGAAAAAATTTAAGAAAAAAATTGGAGCTGTTTTTGAGAAGAAAAAAATCGTAAATTTCATGCGCAAATTACCCCAAAACTACTAACTTTTACAAAACAATGTACATGATATTTTTTGAAGACCTAATTTGGTACAACAGACTTTGTCTGAGCCAAAAACCTCTATCTTCAATTTTGTCGTTGAAACCTCTTTTGCAATTTTGAAAAAATTAGGTAAGTCAGAAAAATGAGATCTACATCATTCTCTTAAACGGCCATTGAGCTATCCAACAACAAAACTTAATGAAACAAATTGAACCGCTTTTTAAAAAAAGTGAAATTGTCTGATGGGGCTTCATTGAAAGCATCCCCCAAAATTAAAATATCGGTTTCAAATTCGAGGTGTCATGACATCAGCCAGATCGATTCGGGAATATCAATTTTGGACAATAAAATCGGCAGAACGTTTCTGAAAAAGTTCCAATACGCTTTTTTCGCCCGACGTCAAAATCTCACTCTGAATTTTAAAAATTGAGCAATCTTTGCTCGATTGAAGTTTAGAAAAGGAAAAATGGCGGAAAAGCGCTGCAAATTGAATGTGAATAAAACCAAAGCAAGAAAAAAGTGACGTATAAATGTCTGAAAAAGGAACAACGAGGCGAAACACGATTGAGAATGACAGCGACGGATGGTCTGTGGAGAATAATAAAGTTGGACGTACTGCGTGGGGAAAAAAATTCAGAGTGAGACAAAACAAAAATGCTATAACTCAGACAGTAGGGGCAGGAAGCAAAGCTAGTAGAGAAAAAGAAACCATGGCACTGAACATATAAGGTGGTGTAGTGCGTGTTAATCCGACTGCACGAGGAGGAAGGAGAACGAAGAAGAAGAAAAAGAAAAAAGAAAAAAAAAGGAAATGCACATGGAACTCAACGACATGGGGGAATATAGCTCAACTGCAGTGCGTTTGCTTTGCAATTGAGAGGCCCCGCGTTCTGTCATCGGATCCTCTAATTTTTTCTATGTATAATTGGAAAAAGTCGAAAAAGTTTTCCAAAAATTAAAAAAATTATCACAAAAAATTAAATATAAAAACGGAAAAAAGGCTGAGAGCAAAAATTTTCTAAGAAATCGCTATTGCGCTCAAAGAGTTCTACAGTTCTCAAAAAATTTTAGACAATATTCTCAAAAAAAAAATTATTGAAAAAAAAGCTTCCACTTCTCGAAACAATCAAATAAAATATTTCTTCAAATCTGACCCCAGTTCTGGGTCCACTCCTCTTTTCTCGTCCGACATCAAACAGGAATTATTCGATATTTTTATGTTCATTTTTATTTTCCCGTATACGTACGTATATACGAAGTAATATACGTAGTATAGGGAAAGTTATGTAATGTTGCGGCAAATCGATTTCAAGATTTCGACGGGAATACACATTTGGGATCCCCTGATACCGAAAAAGTGTTGGTTTTTTTCAAAACGTCCGTCTGCTGTCTGTGAACACCACTAGCGCTAGAACCATGCGTAGGATTTTTTTTCCAAATTGAAGAAACCCATGTCGATCTGGCTCTAGTCAAATCTTTGAGATTTTGAAGAAAATCTTTAAAATTTGGGGGTACTTGCCTTTAGCTCCCCTGACATTTTCAAAATTTTCTCGAGAAACGTTTCCAAATTATTTCTTTAAATTTATTGTAAGAAAAGAGTATCATAGACTAATAAATGTGGGATATGTTCGATTTCCACGGTTAACTCTGAATTTTCAAAAATTTCGAAAGTATGCTTTTTTTCGGTATCTTCTTACAATTACAAAATTGAAGATATAGATTTTTCCTTGAAATAAAATTTGTTTTCCATAGTGAGTTCTTTCATTAAGATCATGTACATTTTTTTGAAAATTTGAGTAGTTTTCACGCAATATTGCGTGTAATATGTGCAATTCTAAAAAATAACAAAAAATATGTTCTGCAAAACTGCTACGAATTGTTTCTTTAAACATTTTTGAGGGATAGTACTCTGAAAAGAAAAAATGCAATTTAACGGTGGTTTGAATTGGTGATGGCGCAATTCTGGCTTCAGATTTGGAGTCAGCGCGTCTACATTAAAGTACATAGAGACACAAGTGGCAAGTCTTTGAGTCTAGCACTTTTTTAAATTTTGTTTGCCTGAATAATTACCAATTTCAACTTAAGAATTTGAGAATCAACACAAGCACATCACTATTACCAATATCCGCATCCGAATTATTAGAATTTTAAGTAACAATAACTTAATTAAATGGTAATCAACATACTAAAACCTTCCTTGATAGATCATCAACCTATTTAACAAAACAATCTGCTTCAACAAGATTTTTCTGAATAATTTTCCATTACTATTAAACAGATATACCAATTTATATCTCAACATTGAAATTTTTAACCATGTATCCTCTAACACACGCTCGTTCTGCGGTTATCATGTCACACCGTTCACATGTATTTATACTATTTGGAAGGTGGTAAAATAACGCTCGAGGTTTGAAAGATTATCAAAGAAATATTACATTCCCAACACAAAGAGTTAGTGGCTTAGAAAATGCTGCCTTACCTTATAATTCATTAACCCAATAAAAACGCTGATATGTGGTTAAGACAATGTGTGTAAGGTACAATGTGTAACACTTTACAAACCAAATTCATGATAATTCTTGAACTTGCATTATTTTGAATTGCATTGAATGCATTATTAAACAGTGAATTTCGCTCAGTCACCATGTTAGGCGTGTCACGTTTGCTATTTTCCCCTGATTATTGCTTAGAAACGATTTATTTCTCCTTCGCAGAAATTGGTTCTATGAATCAAACGTTCTGCCATCAACAGATGCTTCATTGTGTCTTTCGCTTGCTGAAACGCGCTTACTTCTTCACAAGGTCACGATTTATGACATCCGTAGTGACCATCTTCTAAAGTCCGAAGGCAATTTTAAATCATCCTGTGTATGGCCAACGTGCAATCGGTGCAAATATTAGTCACTTTCTAATTATTCTATACGACGGCCTGCATACGAGCATGTACATATTCTTTTGAGTGAAACTAGTGGTACTACACCAGCACGTATTTGCTTTCATTATTTGTAATGGTTACGTTACTACTAGAAACAGGCAAACGTATTTTCAAATAGTAAACTAGTGGTGCTACAGAATGGCACAGACTTTCCCGCATTAGACGTTTGCACTTGCCACACATTATGCCTGCCTGCTGCCATCTATCGCCACCCAAAGTACATTTTTTGACAATTTCTTAATTTTTCAGTTTCCTAATTGTAGAGCGGAAATATGATTTTAAGATTATTAAAGAACATTAAAATCTCGTCCTAAATGGCAATTTTCTACAAAAACTTTGGAGCTGTTTTTAAAAAATGGCGCTTAAGCGCTACTGTACATTCGAAAATAGATCTTTTTCACAGAATTTTTTTCAGTTTTTGAAAAACTTCATTTGAAGCCATTTTAAGTACTTTAACTCACAAATACAATAGTACTTACAAATTGCTGGAAATGTGCATTTCAACGGCGTGAAATCTTTCAAAATGGATGAAATCTTTCAAAAAATTTACATTTGGGTCAAATTTGAAAAAAACAAAATAATACACTGAAATTAACTTAACGTCATATTAAAGAGTGCAATTACCACTGTCAGTTCGATGCATTTAAAGAAAAAATTTGGGTCCGTTTTTGAGGAAATAGTTTGAGCATTTCTGAAAATGCAGAATTTTGAGCTAGTTTCAACAGAAAAGGCAGAGTTTTCGAGTAAGTTTGTATAACATTATTTAAAGCACATGTACTCATAAATACAATGATGTGAACAAATTGTCGCTCATATAAATATTAATTACATGAGAGGCAAGAAAAAAAATTCCATTTTTGTAATTTTCAAAACAAAACAATAGAGCAATATAGAGTTATGTCATCTTATAGAGTACATTTATAACTACCAAGAGTTCAAAGAAAAAATTTTGAGC